GTAATCTCAACACTTCGGGAAGCCGAGGCAGGCGGATTACTTGAGGTCAGGAGTTCGAGATCAGCCTGGCCAACATGTTGAAACCCCATCTCTATGAAAAGTACAAAAATTAGACGAGTGTGGTAGTTAGCGCATGTACTCCCAGCTACTAGGGAGGCTGAGGCAGGAGAATCTCTTGAATTGGGGAGGTGGAGGTTGCAGTGAGGCAAGATCATGCCACTGCACTCCAGCCTGGGCTACAGAGCAAGACTCTGTCTGAAAAAAAAAAAAAGTACAAAAACAAAAACAAGCAGAGGCTGGACCAGATGCAGCCCGTGTGCCATAGTGTGCCAGTTTCTTCCAACATTTTATTAAGAAAAATTTCCAAACAGACATGTTGAAAGAATTTTGCCATGAACAATCACCCATATACTCACCACACAGATTCTACAGTTAACATTTTACTGCACTTGCTTGATTACACATCTTCAATTTCTTCATCCTCTTATCCATCCACGCATCCATCTTATTCCTTTGATGCAACCTAAGATTCTTTTTCTGCCAGGTGCGATGGTCACACCTGTAATCCCAGCACTTTGGGAGGCCAAGATAGGTGGATCATCTGAGGTCAGGAGTTTGAGACCAGCCTGACCAACATGGTGAAACCCTGTCTCTACTAAAAATACAAAAATTAACCAGACGTGGTGGCACACACGCCTGTAATCCCAGCTACTCAGGAGGCTGAGACAGGAGAATCACTTAAGCCCAGGAGGCAGAGGTTGTAGGGAGCCAAGATTCACTGTGCTGCTGCACTCCAGCCTGGGTGACAGAGCGAGACTCTGTCTCAAAAAAAAAAAAAAAATTATTTTTCAAAAAGAAACCAGCAGCAATTTCTTCCCAGGTGAGTGCACGGTGATAAGTGAGTCGGCCTAAGCAGACAGGTAAAATGAGAGGGAGTGCCTATAGGTGGGTACTGTCACTTTTTATATATAGGCAACAAACAATAGTTTTCCAAGGAGAACAGCAGATGATTTGCTGCTGTATCAACCAAGAATACGTCTGACAGTAGTAATGGAATGTGTAACAGATATTCTGAGACATTTTGTTACACCCACAACTGTGGGTGACCTATTGCAAGCACCCCCCAAAAAACTCCTCTGTTTAAGATTTTATCTAGCCATGAATCCAACATTTTCTCATTTATTTGCTTATTAATTTTTGTCCATCTTCTCTTGTTAGAATAGAAATTCCATGAGAACAGGGGCCTTTCACTTATTCACCACACATGTTCTGTGCTAGACAAGTGCCTACCATACACTCAATAAATAAATAAATATTTATTTTTGAGCCAGAATTTCACTCTTGTCACCTAGCCTGGAGTGCAATGGTGTGAACTGGCTTACTGCAACCTCTGCCTCCTGGGTTCAAGGGATTCTCCTGCCTCAGACTCCTGAGTAGCTGGGATTGCAGGTACCTGCCACAACACCTGGCTAATTTTTGTATTTTTAGTAGAGATGGAGTTTCACCATGTTGGCCAGGCTGGTCTCAAACTGCTGACCTCAAGTGATCCACCTGCCTCAGCCTCCCAAAGTGCTGGGATTACAGGCATGAGCCACTGTGCTCGGCCTCAATAAATATTTTTAAGAATAAGGAATGGATCTGTCTTCCACATCTCATAAGTTGTCTTCTATACCTTTTTTCTCTATGTCCTGCTTTCCTGTAATCTCGAGTAATTTCCTCCATTCCATCTTCCAGTTTACCAGTTTTATCTTCAGATATATTTATTCAGCCTATGTATGAAGAAGATTTGGTTTTTCTGTTCTTCTTTGGTTTTATTCTGCATTATTTTTTCACTTCCAATGTGATGGTGGTGGTTATTGATTTTCATAACTGTTCTTATTTCATGGATATGATGAATAATTAGGAATATAATGAATAATTATAATGGATATGATATCCGATCCCTCTGAGGATGTTAATTATATATTTCCAAGACTGTCTTAGTCCAATTTGTACTTCTAAAACAGAAAGCCTCAGATTGGGTAATTTATAAAGAACAGAAATGTATTTGTCATAGTTCTGGAGACTGAGAAGTGCAAGATCAAGGCTTCAGCAGGTTGGGGCCTGGTCTCTATGCTTCCAGGATGGCACGCTGAAGAATGTTGTGGCTTGTGGAGGGAGGGACGCCATGTCCTCACATGGCAGAAGAGCAGAAGAGAATGAACTCATCCCTGCAAGCTCTTTTCATAGAGGCCGTAATCCATTCAAGTGGGCAGAGCCCTCATGACACAAACAGCCCATTTCCCAGCTGTTGCACTGGGGATTAAGTTTCTAACACATAGATCTGGGGGGACAAATTCAGACCATAGAAGACTTCTTCTCCTTTATTGATTATTTCAATGTCCTTACATGTGAGTTTTTATGTTCATAGCGTTCAATCTCCCAAAATAATTTGACAACTTTGGATGTGTGCTTTTTGCTCACTGGGGATGTTCTGCTTGTCTCCCTGTGAAGTCAGTACCTTCTTACTGCTGCTGGAGTCAGAGGTGAGGAAGGAGGAAGCGCCAGGAACAAGTATTTTGCACACAGGGCTTCCTGTTCTTTCCAGATGTGGTCAGGTGTGCTGGACACTTCCCTGCCTCTCTGGCCCATCCTCACTGCTCCCTCCTGGGACAGGCACTTCTGCTTCCTATTACTCAACACAGAAAGGTTGGGGTGGGAGATCACATGTCCTTAGAGGCTGCCATTGCTATGCCAGCACAACTGACAACCATGACCATTAACCTAGGGTCTCTTCTCCTCCTTCAATCTGTTGTGGATATCAGGAGACCGGAGAGACCAATGGGTGAAACAGGAGGATTTTATTTAGGTGCACCGGCTCAGTGGATTTGCATCTGAAAACTGAGCAAAGGACAAAGAAAATGGGGTACCTTTTATACATTCAGGATGACGCAGTAGTTAACAGGTTTACAGAAACCAGAACAAAGAACAGTTAATGTGTAACATGTCTTGTGATGTACTTTATATTGAAAAGTAACATTCTTGAGAAACACATTTTGCAGTTTCTATCTGTTTTGTGATCTTGTAGCTAGCCAGAGTAAGAAAAGCAGGGATTTTTAGATGCCTGGGAACTTTGTGAAGAACATGGGCAGGATAGATAAGGGTTAAATGGTTGCAGGAAGGCAGTTTAATATTTTTGCATAAGCAGAGCTGAGGAGGAGGTATTATATTAAACACTGTACAACACAGTAAACTTTATTTTATTATGCAGCAATTACAGACCATTGTTATTATTTAATTTCTCTCTTCAAATCCACTGCCTGGAGCCTGCAGCTCCTCAGAGCACTCTCCACTCTGCATAGGCACCCCTCCTTTACGTGTTTTGGCTGTAATTTCCTCCTTCATCCAATCCTGTATCTCTTTCAGGGATCTCAGTTTCCAGTTCACCTGGGGCACCTCTGTTTAGAACCCAGCAACATTATTAAAGTTTTTCCATCTCTTTCCCGCCATTTCTAGAGGCTTGGGTTGGACATTGAAGACTTGTGCGTGTGTTCGGTCCACTTTCCTGACCCAATCTTGACCCTTCTGCGTTTCATCTTCTGAAAATGCCTCAAACATCCTGGTCCCTTGACTGCACCCTTTCTCAGTTTCCAACCTTGTTGATTTCCATTATGCTTTTAACATGTATTTGCTGCTATTTTAATAGGATCTTGAGTGTGTATTCAATCACTATCTTGAATGAAAAGTTTCTAAAGTAGCCTGTGACTCGGGAAGAAGATCGTGATTAATGGGCAAGCATGAAAATCATTGCTGAATCCCTTGACTTAAATCCCCGCCACAACACCTGGCCTACAAAATAGTCTCCTGCCCATACTTGAATAGTCCAAGTGATACAGCATTCACTCCTAAAAATATCGCCTGTGTGTACATACTACAGACCCAGCACCTCTCCCTCTCATTGACCATGACCTCTGAAATTCACTCTCTGATCCTATTTCCTTTCAGTTAAGGTACAGACTTCGGGAAGCACTAGCTAAGACTGTTACCTGAAATGTATTCAGAGCTAGAGTGAACGCTGGGTCCCGGAGCAGACAGAACAGAGGACCAGTGAGTTTTTTAATAAAATGGGGTGGAAGGAGATAGGCTATGGCTTGGGCCAGACCTGGAAGAGAGCTCAGGTGTGCAGTCTCTTGGAACCTGGGTGGAGAAGCAGCAGGAAATAAGCAGAAAAAGGAGGAGTCAGGCCATGAAGATAGAAGCGCAATGGCCCTGGATTCAAATCTCCACTCTGCAGTTTATGGCTTACAGTCGCTCAGCCTTGTGCCAGTTCTAAAAGGATATTTCCCTGTTGTAGCTTTGTCATGTTTTCTTATGTAGTATTGTTGTGCAAGGTACCATTCTAAACTCACCGACTGTCCTTCCTCCCTTCTCCTCCGAAATAATTTTTAATTCTTGCAGATGGACTTTAAAATCAAGTGTTTGAAGTTTTCAAAAATGGAATTTTTATTGGAACTGCATTACATGTATAAATTATTTAGGAAGAGCTGGCTTCTGAAGAGGGCAGCGCTGTGGACTTGGGCTGGGTTTGAATCCTGACAGAAACCTTTCCAGCTGTGCTGCCTTGGACAGCTACATAGTTCCTCTGTACCTTGACTTCTCCATCTGTCAAATGGGTGATGGTAACAGCACCTACACCATGGCTGTTGGGAGGAGTCAGTGAGATTCTCCAGGTGTACCTTATTATCACTGGTGGCGGTAGCAGTGTTTAGAACCATCCCTCAGCCAGAGAGCAAGGCAGGAGTTCGTTTATTAAATCCTGACTTTGTTTTTTTCATGTAAAACGTGCACGTTTCTGAAATACTCAGAGTACATTACTCAATAAATACTCATATGTTCTGTGGACCTGCTTCTGTCAGGACATTTCTTTAGGCTGTGATTAGTTCGTTGGAGCTGGTGGGGGCAGGGACAGCTGATCAGAAGCAGGGAGACGAAGGAGAAGAAGCCGTAGCTAGAAAGGGGACCAGGAAGCGGGTGCCGGGTGCCAGAGCTGCTAGAAAGAAACGAAACTGAAAGCGGTGAGTTTCCGCAAATTTCGGGGAGGAGGAGAGGAAGCTGGGGAAGGCAGGGTCTCCAGCGTCCGTCCCTCTTTCACGCCCCGCGAGGGACCGAGGACCTAGGACCCGGCGCAGCGCCCGCCCCCGGGGCCAGCGAGCTGGGCGTGGTGGGGAGAGCCGCGCAGGGAAACGAAACCCGAAACCCAGAGGCGGCGGCGGAGCCTTGCTTCCTGGCACCTGAGCCGGGCTGCCATGGACGTGTACCGCACTCGGGCCGCCGCGCTGGACGGGTTCGTGGCCAGCAGGCTGCAGCCGCGGAAGAAGTTCGTGGAGAAGACGCGGCGCGCCCTGGGCGACCTGGCCGCTGCCCTGAGGGAGCGCGGAGGCCGTCCTGGCGCCGCTGCCCCGCGGGTGCTGAAAACTGGCAAGGTGAGGTCCCACTTCAGGCTCTTTATGTGTCGAAAGGGGACAGTCCTAGGAGGACGCTTAAGCCTCACATAGCTTTACGGTGGGGGTGGCTTTATACGGCCTGTGCGCTTCTCATTCATTTCTTTACCAGATACTTCCAATGTGCCAGCCCTGTGCTAAGTGCCCTGAACATAACAGCCAGGTAGGTACTCTTAACCCTCGCTTGACAGATGGAGAAACTGAGGCACAGAGCGGCACAGTGACGTTGTCCAATTCTGTAAGAGGCCCAGCCGGGATTCAAACCCAAGTAGCCTGATTCCTGCATCTGGGCTCTCCGGGCTGCCTCTCATCCGCTCCTTCACCAACTCACTCACTCATTCACCCAGGCATTCAAACAGACCATGGGCCTCAGGCTATGCCAGACCCTAAGGACACAGAAGTAATGATACTCCATAATAGCCGGAATAGGCCAATTTATTGAGACATTACCAAATACCAATGAAAATTATCTCATTAAATGAGTATTATCTCATTTAATCCCCACATTCAGTGAGGTAGGTATTATTGTACCTGTTTTATGGATAGGGAAACTGAGGGTAGATACTAAACTACTGCTCCGAGTTACTTTTCTTTTCTTTCTTTCT